AGGGGAGGGGGAGGAAGCGGGGGAGAAAGGTACCTGCGAAAGCGCGGGAGAGATCGATCACCATAAACGCGCGAACGGGGCGGTCTTAAATGTTCGCGTCGCCATTTGAAAAGGCGACGTGTCAAAGTCGCGCGGACGCGTCGTGAAACGGGCCGCAGTAAAATTATCAGACGTGTCGCTTGCTCGCGAAACTTTCATTTAGCGGAAGCCATAACCGCGCGAATCGATTTCCCCGGCGAGGGATCGCGCGCGCGCGCGCGTTCACCGCGGAAATTTACGCGAGCGATTCGCGCATTATCGGCCGATCATTACGACCGCGTTTGAAAACCGCGGTATTATATCGGGCCAGCGCACCTCTCCTTTTTTCGCCTATAAGCCCTTTTATGCGACGTGACGAGAGATATACACGGTGGGTTCACGCGTTCGTGCGATCGCTTGTAAACGGCCGAAACAGCCGCGCGTTGAGACGCTCGATCGACCGCGGCAGCTCGTTAAAGTTCATTTAATGAACCGTTTAGGGCGCAGATAACGGAAAGACGTTCGGGGAAGTGCAGCGTTGACGGCGCGCGGACACACCGGTAGTTTTCCCGTAGGCGCCGTAGCTCGTGGCGCAGTTGTAAAGCCGGCGCTACGGCCAGCCGTAACACCTCCACTGTGGTTTAACGAAACGTCCATTGCGCATCCCCCCCTCCTCCTACCGTTGAGCAAAAAGTATCCGGAGCTGGCGATGTGGTGCAATTTCTCTCTCTCTCTCTCTCTCTCTCCCTCTCTCCCTTTCGCTCCCTCTTTTATTTCCCGCCGCCGCGAGAATTTCCTCGAAACGAATTTCAGGTCGTTCGTGTCGGGGGTGTCATTATTTCCTAATGTTGAGCAAATACGATTTAGATTCGAGTAGCTATTACTTTCCAAACGTTACAAACTGTAACGGGATACTCGAGAGCTCAAAACTAAAACCTTTCCTCCGGCTCATGTAGAGTGCCAGTTAAGTATCTTACCGTTTTCGCGGTAGGGAAATTTCTCCGCCCTTTTCTGTTTTTTTTTCTCTTTTTTTTTTCTTTTTCCTTTCCATCTCTCTGTCTTTCTTTCTCTCTCTCTCTCTCTCTCTCTCTCTCTCTCTCTCTCTCTCTCTCTCTCTCTCTCTCTCCGTCGCGTTGCACGAGACGTGAAATTTAAATGTGAAATTTAAACTGCGCGAAAGCGAATTTCCACGAGCGCTTTTACAGACTGGGTTAACTGTCCCCACGGCTCGTATTGTTTAATCGACTGTCCGCCGGCCGGTGCGAATTTTTGCATCCGCAAATGTTGCTGCAGTCTGCGCGCGGACGATCCAACGTTTCCCCGTGCGATCTTTTTTGCCCGGTCACGCGCGATCCCCGGTTTCCGCGATGTTCCATTTGAAGAATCATTGAGCGAAATCGTGGGATTGCCCCGGTGTATGAAATGGCTCGTACAGCGAGGAGGAGTCCCGCGAAAAATAAAGTGAGAAAGAGAGAGAGAGAGAGGCAGATTTGCAAAGTGATACGAGTGCTCACACAAGTAAGTCCGTCACGCCGAGCCAAGTGACTGTCGACTTCGAGCAAGAGGCGGCCTCATTATTATCCATTTCATTTACTCGAGACCTTATCGTTGGTAGATTCATTTCCCTCGCGCGTTCGGACCTTGCTACTGGGGCTGCATGCCCCGTGCATCACCACGTCGGCGGCGAAGTTCCGCGACGCGAGCGTGCGATGGAGCTGCCAGCGGAAGAGTCATCGTTGAATAATAAAATTCCGCCGGTCTCGCGCGACGCATAAAGCAGCGCGCGCGCGCGCGTGTGTACGTTCGGCCGAGCGCGGTGCTCGAAATTCGGCCGTAAATGATGGATACTGATGAGCCCCCGGATGATACCAGCGCGCGCGCGCGCGCGCGCGGAATATCCCATTCCACGGGCGTCCTAAAACGCCCGTTAAAAGGTGCCTGCAGCTTCGCGGCGCTTCCAAATCCCCCCAAACTTCCGGCGCGCGTTGGCTCGGCAGATGTCTGCCGCCGAGTTGTAACCCGGCGACATGTAACTGCGTATGTGACGTAGCGTGCCCGTATAGCGTAGTGGCCGGTAATAGCCGTGGTTCCCCATAAAGGGACTTCACAAACGACTTGCGTGCTTTTCCGCTCTCTCTCTCTCTCTCTCTCTCGCGCGCGCGCGCGCGCATCGCATTTTCTCTACCGACGTCGCAACGACCGCGCGCGCGCGCGAACGAGCGTAGACCGCGCTACGTGTGCGCCACGTTTACTACGTGCCGATCCGTCTGTTTCCGGTTTCGTGGCTCGAGTGATCCTCGCTGCGAAATTGTACGCGATATCCCCACGATACGAGGTGATGAGAGAGAGAGAGAGAGAGAGAGAGAGAGAGAGAGAGAGAAAGAGAGAGAGCGTGCGGTCGACTCGACTCTGTATGCCTCACACTTTGGCGTCGCACTTTCGCCGGAAGTGCCATCGCGATCGCATTTCCGAGCGAAACAGCGTGGTGTATTCGATGCGGCCGAGAATTTCCATCCGTGAACCCGTGGATGGTCGTCGGCGTTTGCTGATTTATCAAGGGTGGCGTTCGATCGCTCTTTCGCGCCGCGGCGAAGACGCGGTTGAATTTCGACGGCGCGAATAACAGCGCGCGTAATCGAGATCGCAAGTATCGGGATATGATTCGAGTGCGAAAGTGTTTGGTTTGATTCAGACGTGTGTAAACAAGACGCGTCGCGACAACAAAGCGACAATTTGCGACGGCGAGAATGATGCCGTGGCTGCGGAGAATAAAGTATCGAGTCACAGGCGGGAATGGAAACGATTCTCGGATACGGCGGCGGCGCATGCGCTTACGAGAGGGGAAACGGCGCTCGCATTTGCAACGGTTTACATTTCACAATAATCTTGAACCTTGATGACCGCCGCAGTGGCGCGAAACGGAATAGGAAGCTAGATTGTACTGCCGGTACGTGCCAATCCGCTTGCCCGAGGTTTCGAGAAACGCGATTTTCAGCTGCGAGTTCTTGCCCGAGTTTGCCAAGGGTGTACGGGGGTAAATATGCGACTATTCTGTTTTTCCTTACACGAGGATTACGCCAAGCAGCTTACCGACGGGCGAATGTTTACTCGATACTTGGCGGTGTGCTCCGCCGCTCGAATAATAAAGGCCGATGCAAGATTAGTATTTACTCTACGCAACTTGATTGAAACTGGCTGCGGCAAACACGAAAGTACACGGAGTCGCGAGGCCGAGAGAGTTGCGTAATATCGAAAAGCAAATCGATAAATTCCCAACTGTCTGCTTGCACTTTTTAAATGCTCCGCTTGTTCGACTAGCTTGACGTGCGTGTGAGGTAAATGGTCCCGGTGATCGGATGCTTAAGCGTAAGTCGTCACAACAAATACAATATATAATATTGAGAGTAGTTTCGATATAAATATTTGCATTTATTCGAAGACTCAAGATTCCCTTAAATAGAGAAGGACGATTTAAATCAACGTATATATCTGTTATTAATGAAATATTTACAAGTACAAGTGATGAAGCGCATTAATGTACCAGTGACCGGACGGTGAAATAATGTAGGTTATGGTTCAAGGTTCGGATATAGTCTGTCCCAGTGTCCGACCGCAATTAGAAAGTTAGTAATTAGTGCTAACAGGGAATAATACAAATATAGATGCTATCTCTTGATGATTTTTATTAAAGACTGACCATTATTTTGCCAGGCCGTAGATGCGTGCTTATTTAATTAATTTTCATTTTAATACAAAAGTAAAATCAAATTGGCTATATTTTTCTCCAACTAAATATTGCAACTTTTTTTACGATCATTATTGTTAAAATAAATAGTAATTATTTTTTTTCAAAGTGGCCGGATACTGCGATAAGGGACGTTTACCTCACGTAAGTATGCCTAAAGGAACGCCGTAAATCGCAGGATAAATAATCAATCTGCTCATCTCTCTCTCTCTCTCTCTCTCTCTCTCTCATTCTCTCAGTCTTAGCTTCTCACAACGTTAACCTTTGGGCACCGCTGATAAATATCAATATACCGGGGAGTCTCTTTAGTTTCAAACTGACCAATGTCGAGCAATGTAACGAACCGTGAAAAGAAGAGAGAACGCTCTTTCGAAGGACGCCGGATTTCGTGATCCGCCTCTCTCGGAGGAGAAAGTCGGCCTAAACAGCTCGCAGCACATCACGTTCCCGTATAATAACGGATCGTGGAAACTCATACGCGTCACCGCCCCGTAAGCCCGCAATCTACGAGGGTAGATCCCCCATACATTTTCCAAGGATCTTTACGGCTCTCAGCGCCCTGCGCTGTGTGTACTTTAATTAGCTCGGTTCCTCGTCTCTCTCTCTCTCTCTCTCTCGTCCGCTGAACGATACCTTTCAACCTTCTAGCGACCGATTTTAGCGAACAATCGCGAAATTGTCTCACGTGCGCCGGGGCTTGGGCTCTATTTGCTTCGAACTTTGAACCTTGGCGCGGAGTTACTCGAAATCGGAGTTCCGCGATGAAGTGACAGCACTGCGTTATCTGGAATCTTAATGGAAGTGACGACACGGTGATTGCCTCGTCGTTGATGGAACTTTATCGCTTGAAATGTGACACGGTTGAATGTTTGATTTGGCAGCGATATCGATCGAGTCACCGACCGGGAGGAACGTTACTGAATCGCAGTACGAAGTGAACGTCACAAGATTTGATGAAGATGTAATTTACATGCGCGTTACCGCATTATATTTAGCAACCTTAGTTAATTTGTAATAGAACCGGATGAGAGATTAAGTTATCAAGATTATCGGCTCTCTCTCTCTCTCTCTCTCTCTCTCTCTCTCTCTCTCTCTCTCCCGAGATAGCTCTTTTTGCGGTACGATCTGCGCTCATTTCAGCCGATAACCGATATTTATCTGGAAAAATTATGAAAATGCGCAAAAGATCACCTCGGCTATCAACCTTAGACATTCGAGTTACCTTCGTCGTGTTACATAATCTAAATTGTCATTTGTGACTCAGCAGCGATAATATTCGTATCAAGTGATATGAATATTACTCCTCTTTACATGAACCGTGACTCCAATGCGTGTATGAGATCTCGTTATTACAATATAATAAACTTTCCACTGTCACATCGTTCGGTCCAATCTCACAGTGTCGTCACATCAAGTGTTTCACCTTACGGCTGCGAATCGGCGTCATTACTTTTGTTTTTTCCGCTGCTATATATATATATATTTATAGGCAAGGAGCTCTAGAGACGCGTCGTGACGGACACGTGACTGGCCGCGACGTTATCCAACATCCAATCCCGAGGTCGTCTCTGACGACAGCGAGCGTTATCTGCCGGAAGACGAAAAATAGATAAACGTCGTCCACGAAGCGGGATTTCGTCGCGCTAGTACCGTCGCGCCTACGTCGCGGGGAGCACGACGCGCACGAGGAAGCCGAGGAACCGATCAGCCAGTGCGCGCCTCTCGCGCATCGCCGGGAGAAGCACTCTTGTTATCAGTACCAGTCGCCTCCGTCGCCGCCGTCGTGTGCGCAACTCTCACTCGCGACAAGAGCCAGCGCGGCGCACTCCGGAACTGCCCTTACTTTCGTCTCTCGGCAGGGCTCTCCCTCTCTCTCTCGTTCACTCCTTCTGCGTCGCGCGTGTGCTTCCGCCGACAGGCGCTCGGAAGAGTGTGGCACTCTTGTGGCGCGCTGTGCGTCACAACGCGCGTGTTTCTGCACTCCGTCACGCGCAACAACACGACCACACGACAATGCCGGCGGAGCACGAGAACGGAGAGACGCGGCTGCGATCGCGCAGAACAAAGAGCGTCACGAGGGCGGAGGAGATTCGGAAAGCAGAACAGATGGTCCGCAGGTCGCAGCCTGACAAACCGTGAGTACGCACTGCGCGCGCGCACGCGCGCGCGCGCGCGCGTGTGTGTGTGTGTGTGAGTGAATGAGTGAGTGTACACATGTCGCTGTGTGTGCACGCCGGCGTGGCGTCTGTCCCTCAGATCTCTTCGTTGTGGCCGCTGTGACGCGGACGCTGTGATACTCGCCCGCCGCACGACGACCAAACGCCACGACGATGAGGGATCGTGCGCACCCAATGACTCGCGCAATTGTCGCGCCGAAGCCGCGCGGCAACGCGGAATTTTCGCCGCCTCGGGAGAGACGCGCGACATCACAGACGGGCTCGACGTAACGTGCGCATGCGTGTCCCGCACTATGTTTAGTAAGGTGCCACGGGAGGGGATTCTTCCCGCTGATCCTCGTCGGCTCGAGCCGCTCTTCCCTTCTCTTTCCCTGGCGCGTTCGATGTCTCGCTCCGACACGTGTTGTAATCGATGCGTGGGTCGACCGACCGGCCGGCCGCGGCGCGGCGGCGTCTTGCTTGCGGTCGAGCTACAGCTCGTTTCATCGCGCGGCTGCCTTTCTTTCTTTTCTCCGTTTTGCTCTCACGAGGATTGAAGCGCCTCTCGCGCCAAGTGCGTGTCACCGCCTGGCGTGTTGCCGCGCAAAGCAACGCTGCCGCGCGGACCGCGATTATTCGCAACGCGCCTTCGCAACGCACGCTGGATCGAGTGTACATGTTCGCTCACAGATTGTGACGACACGCTTTGTCTCGACATCGTCGCGGTCTGTGAGTCGATACGTACACTCGTGACGAGAAGCTGCGCTGCTCTTCTGCTCGCGTTTTTCCTCTCTCTCTCTCTCTCTCTCTCTCTCTCTCTCTCTCTCCACTTGGCGCCGAGAGAGAGAGAGAGAGAGAGAGAGAGCTTCGCCGCGAATGTAGCGTCCGGTATCATCATCGCTCACACGTCGGCCATGATTTATGTTTGTTACCGCACTCGTGCGGCAGGAATAATTCCCGATGAAAGTCGATATACACATGTTAAGTAACGCGATGGAGAATTGCGAAAGTGTTGACAAACACGACACCTGACGCGCGGGCTGTTGCGTCATCAGCACCGTGACGACACCATCACAGTAATGAACGCCGCCGCTCTTGACACGGAATCGAACGTTTAAATATCTCCGAGTGACGCGTGGCGCGTTCTGAAAGCGGACTTTGCGCGTTCATTGCGCACACGCGCGTTCCATGAAACTTGCGTGAGTATTTGCGTAAAGATAGTCAAGCGATGTACAACGGTTAAAAGTCTTATCGTTATATAACGCGCATTCACGTACAGTCGGCGAGACGTCAATCGTCGTACCTCGTCGTATGAGGGAATCGTAGGGAATTCGCGCGGCCAATATTGAGATTGATATCACATGTTGAAACATCGCGGGGATACTTGAGAAAACGATTGACAATTGAAACACGACGTTCCCGCGCTCCCGTTCCGTGTTATTATATAAAACACGGTATTTAAATCGCATCGCGCGCTTGAAACAATATCGCGCATTTTCCATACACTGCGCTCTCACGTCGTCATATCGTTAACCTTTGCTTTATGCAAAGATGCGCTCTCGATCTCACATCGTTTCGCGCGTGGATTGCGTCGTTGGATTGTGGACCTCTTAAGCGCCGTTTAATTGACCTTCGGCAAGATGTAAGACCGACTGGTCGCTAGAGTGGAGGGGGGAAGGGGGACATATGGGTCGTTTACGGAGACAAACACTCGCTTCTGGAAACTTTTGGACACTCGGATTGGGCAAATCTCGCCAGTCAAGCGGACTCTCTTCCCCGTCGCTGTGTATAATTAATGCACGCCCGTCGCCATCTCTCGGAGCGACGATTTCATGTAGAAACGATCCAGTCTATTCCGTCGAAATGTCTCTCAACGAAGTCGAGTTAGAGCTCGGCTATATTATACGCGCTCAACTCTGAACACTAAATTAATCTTTAACGACATCGATCGAGCACGAAGAGCGCTTCGGAGAGTCGTCTTGGAAGAGAGGCAAAATTGTATCCCGAGAGACACCTAAATTCTGACTTCATTATCGTGAAATTTGTAAAGAAGGGAGTTAGGGAGGTATGACACATACGAGATAGAGTATAACGTAGAATACTCGGTAGCCTCGGAGCCAGGAATTGCTTGCATCTGTGACTTCTGCGGAACTTTCGTCAAGCTACGATCCAACTTCATAGTTGAGACTTTAGTTACTTGGAAGTTTCATTATCCCATTGTTCCATGCGTGGCGATTCGGTTGTTTGCCTTTACTCGCGCCGCTCCGTGTTGTAGACTATCTCATATTATCCAGCTTCCACTTGTCGATCGACATGCGAAAATAACCGGCGCTAACTTACCGGGCAATTACGAGCGCCAGTATCCCATCGGATTGTCTCGTTTAAAATGTGTGACCGCGAGCCTCGTATCTCCCTCGCGTCTCCCTCGGGACATTAATTACGAGCGGCGAATCGGCTTTCATAACACGTCCTGCGGCTTGAGAGACGAAGGTTCGATGTTAAACGCGCCGATGCTAATAAGCTACGCCGCTCGTGGAAAATCAAAGTACCAAGTCGTAGGATATCCCCGATTCGTTCGGGGAGAAAGTACAATTGCGCGCTGCCTCGGCGCAATAATTTATTCCGCAAATAATTAAAAGTGGAAACCACGCCGCGCGCGCGCGCGCGCTCGCGTGTCCGTACCGGTTCTTATTTTCCGTTATTATTTTATCTACCAATCACACACATCGTGTAAATTTATCGCGGCTAACAATGAGAAATGCGTTATTTACACCCATTATAGCGATAACATAATGCAGCACAGGTAAGTATTGTTCATTTGGAAACGAACCTCTTTTCTTTTTTATATATATATATATTACACATTATTTCGCATTAAAATATTTGTTTTTTTTTTTTATTACATCGAGACCGTGGATCGAATATATCTGGATGGATTTGTAAAGGGCAAGTAAACAAAGCTGTCGTTCCGTAAAATATTTCATTTAAATAATGAGACGCAAAATCCATAAAATGACCACGTAACGTTATACGGGCATTGAAAGGATACGACGACGTGAAAATGTAATGTTTATATTCTGAATATTTTTCAAAAGTATCAATATTATATCTCCGCGCGCGATGTGTGCGGAGAATTTTCAACATTTAAAAATTAATTACTGCGCGCGCGTAATCATGTGGCTCTCCGTGCATTCGTTTCTATAGAAAGGTACTTGCGGTATTCCTCCCGCTCTCTTTTTTAATGAAGAAATATCAAAAACTCTCAAAGAGAGAAAGAGAGAGAGAGAGAGAGAGAGAGAGAGAGAGAGAGAACGGTGCGCCTTCGCACATGCGATATCGAGGCAAGGCGGGCAAACAGCCTAGAAATTTAATCGAGCGTTGGAACAATATCGACTCATCCCGCTCATCGACTCGAGCTCGCGCTGCTTCCGTCGTTTTGGTATCGCAAGGTCGCGCAGATCAAGGTTAAGGACAACGAACTTTCGATCACGCAAATGCGCGAACAGTTAAACACCTCCGTGCGCCTCGGCGCGCCTAATTAGCTCTCGGCCGCGGCGAGGTTTTGCCTCGACGCCTCGGCAAACCCTTCCGCGGGTTAGTCGTCACCCTCCATCGACTTCTGGAACGACCGCTGACGGTTCCATGGAGTCGCTCGGCGAAGTATGCAGACCACTTTCGTGTGCCGTTAATTAAAATGTTAATTCGGGTGACACGGCAAAATCGCTCCAACGCGCGAAGCTGTCGTTAAGCTTCCCCTCGACGATCTACTTCGCGATACTTCAACGGCTTTCTCTCTTTTATTTATTTCCTTTTTTTTTTCCCTTTCCGCCGCGGGTGAGAACGTATCGTTTTATTTACCTTATAATTAAATTTTAATTGAAGACATCAAACTCGCTGAATATATTAAACTCGTTATCTCCCGTGTGCGTTTTCGCTCGCGATTATGTGTGTATATTTTTCCTTTTCCTCTCATTAGAGAGACCAGTGGATCCTCCATCGCTCGCCTACGCGAGACTATGCGAATTCGGAGAATGCCGCTGCTCCATTATCAAGTGCGCTCGCCGATCGGCGAGCATTTCACTAGCAATGGAACCTAACAAATTGGTGGGCCGTTGATGATTTAACGGGTAGTAGAGGCCACGTACGCGCTTTGGTAATCGGATTCGATAATCGTGGTGCGTCGGTTTCGCGTTAGGATGAGATATCGAGTGCTCAGCGCGCTCCAGCAGAAAACTATCAGCGAATTGTACATAATGAAAGGGCAGAAACACGTTGTAATCACGATAAATTCTATTCTCTCCGTCTTGTTCGCTTATTACGCAAAAACTGATCGAGAGTACGCGAAACCTGAAAGATTAATTCTCGATTGGATTGCTAATTGCGAGCGGTATCGGATCCGCGCGCGCGCGCGCGCGATATTGTTTGATACGACATACTCTCTACCCTGCGCAAACTGTTTTATCGTGTTACCCTTCCTTCTTTCAACGGCCGTTATTGGAGAGAGCGATATTGCATCATTGAGGAAGCGGTTGAATATAATCAAAGTTAAATGTAATCTTCCCGCACGCGAATAAAAAGCCGTCTCTCCCGCTGGGAGCAAGAAACGCGTGTATGTGTGTGTGTGTGTGTGTGTGTGTATGACAGCGAGACCCTTGCGCGAGTAATCTTACCCGAGACACCGTTCTCTTGCATTCGAAAAGCATCCTACACTTTCTTGCATCACGCCAACCTTCGCTTTTTCCTCGCACTTGTATATGTGTTCTTTCATGAGCACTTCGTGCGTCGCTTCGTCTAGCAAGACGACGAGAGAGAGAGAGACAGAGAGAGAGAGAGAGGGAGAGAGAGAGAGGGTGGAGAACGAAAGAGAGAGAGGGGGGCAGACAAGGACCGAGCGAAAACTACCCCTCCAACACGGTATAATGACTTGCAAACAAGAGTTTCTTGTTCTCGAAAATGGCGAGTCTCTTTTGCCGTGCCGC